TTGCAAGCATGATACAATTAGAGAAGCCTAGGGTTTCTTAATTTAAAAAAAGATTGGCACACTAAAGGCGTTTTCTAAAGTCGTTAAGGGAAAAATCATTCGAATATCAAACTATATCAATATTTTATATTCCGTCAGGAGTTAAGAAAAATGTTCCAACTAATTGTAATTGTCGCCCCTTCCAACTGTGATTCACCTCAAGAAGGTGAGCTCTGAGACGATTCACTTCTGAGACTAATCGTAAAGACTTTTGGTCCACCTCCGAGGCTCCAACTGCATTGTCATGCGAAGAGTCAGACTCGGTCGCTGCTAATGGGCCAGTGCCTGGCTCGGGCAAAGCAGCATTGGAAGAGGAGTAAGACTCGATAGATGAAACGCCGTAGCTGTTAATCGCCGGGTCGAGGTGAGTCTGCACTCCATGAGTCCGTGTGGTAACTCGCCTAGGATTGGAGCCGGAAAGCTCATCATATTGAAGCTAGTGTAAAGGTAAGGAAAAATTGTATTATATGAATGAACAAGAAGAATGAATAGCTAAAAAGACTGTGCTGTGTGGAGAAAATGAAATAAAAGAGGGGATTAATAGTAAAAGGATGACCATAATAAAGTGCTGAAAAGTCGTATGTAATGCTTTTTATTAGCTCGTGACAATTTCACGGAGGCATAGTTGCCTGGAAGGAAAGGAGAACACAAACGACAAACTTCGTCGAGAAGAGCAAATTGTGACAATTTTTTGATATACGAACTAATTATAGATTTAAAACCGTAATTTGTCAACAGCTAGTGTAAACAACGAAGTAAGAGGATGGAATATCAATGGACATCAGTAAGAATCTATTAGTCACTTTGCTAACAATGGTCTCCAATTGGAATCCCTCGATCGACGTTTCTCAGCACACAACAAGAAATAAAACAAGGCACAAAAATAACAAGATTAGTGGAAACAGCAGGCTACGAATGCAAGGGATCCCGGCTATAAGTACAAATTAAATAATATATATGCATATATGGCGAGAAAGAAAAAGATTAATGATGATCTCTAGTTAGACGAGTAAGGAGGGTCGTCATTTAATGCATCAAAAATATTCAAAAAATATTGTCAAAGCTAAAGGATGGAATCGAAATAAGAAACTAAATAAAGTTCACTGTTTATTGATGGCACATATCAAAGGTGGTGTGAAGGTTAGATCCTTATTTGTGGAGACGCTTAGGTTGTGATACGTTAAAATGGGCTCAAAATAAACAACAGAGGCTTCGTGTGAAGCACACAAAAGTGAACCAAAGCGTATTAACTAGATAAACTTTTAAACTACTTTGTTTAAAGAATAAGAAGATCCAAGATTATTATGATAAATATGATGACGACGATGATAAACCTCTTGGGAAACGACATCATGTGCAATTAGACATCGAACACTCAATAATG